GGGTGCCTCTCTGGGCCGACTTGGGGCCCTCTTGGAATGCTCCAGGGCCGTCTTGGAGGCCATCTTGGGCGTCTTAAAGGCTTCCTGTGCCGTCTTGGGGGCCTCTTAGGTCTTGGAGGCCTCTTGGGCGATCTTTCGGCGATCTTTGGGGGCTCTTGGGCCGTCTCGGGCCGTCGGAAGGTCGAAAAGAAGCAAATGTCAAAATCCTTCAAAAACCTAAAGCAAATCAGTCTTTTTGGCATTTTCTGGCCTTCCTGGAGGCCCTCTTGGAGGCCTCTTGGGCCGTCTGGGACCAGCTTCGAGCCAACTTGGGCCATCTTGGTGGGTTCCTGGCACGTCTGACGCCGTCGGGAGCCGTCTTGGGGGCCTTTCTGGGCCGACTTGGGGCCCTCTTGGGCCGCTTCGGGGCCGTCTTTGAGGCCATCTTGGGCGTCTTGGAGGCCATCTTGGGCGTGTTGGAGGCCTCTTGGGCCGTCTTGGGGCCCTCTTGGGGCCGTCTTGGAGGCCACTTGGGCCGTCATGGGGCCCTCTTGGGGGCCTCTTGGGCGATCTTGGGGGCCTCTTGGGCCGTCTTGAGCCGTCGGAATGCCGAGAAGAAGCAAATTCCAAAATCCTTCAAAAACCGACGGAAAATCAATGATTTTGGCCTCTTCGGGCTCTCCTGGAAGACCTTTTGGAGGCCTCTTGGGCCGTCTTGGAGGCCTCTGGGGGGCCTCTTGGGCCGTCTTGGGCCGTCTTGGACTCTCTTGGGCCGTCTTGGAGGCCGTCTTGGACCATCTTGGGCGGACTTGGAGGCCATCTTGGACCATCTTGGAGGCCATCTTTGGGTCAACGTGGCCATCTTGGACGCCATCTTGAGCCGTGTTGGAGGATTTTTTGTGGACGTTGTGGTCCTGTGCAATACCCCCGGGACCCCGGAGGGACGGGCCGAAGCGCCAGGGGGAGTTCTTTTGGAAAAAGAACCAAAACCCAAACTGAACGGATCCAGCACGCCAGGCACCCCTGCGATGAATCGACAGGGGGCGGCGGATCGAAGACGCCTACGGCGAATCACCGCCGCCCCCTGCCTTTTTGGAAGCGCCTGTGGCCGAACGTTGAGGTCAGACCTGCCAAGCTATCGGACCATGTGTTCCCCGAATCGGTTTGGAAAGCCTTCGGGGAACACGTGGGCATCTTGAAGGTCATCTTGGCCGTCTTGGAGGCCTCTTGGGCGATCTTTCGGCGATCTTTGGGAGCTCTTGGGCCGTCTCGGGCCGTGGGAAGGCCGAAAAGAAGGAAATGTCAAAATCCGTCAGAAACCTCAGGAAAATCAATGTTTTTAGCCTCTTCTGGCCTTCCTGGAGGCCCTCTTGGGTGCCTCTTGGGCCGTCTTGGGCCACCTTCGAGCCAACTTGGGCCATCTTGGTGGGTTCCTGGCACGTCTGACGCCGTCGGGAGCCGTCTTGGGGGCCTTTCTGGGCCAACGGGGGACCCTCTTGGGCCGTCTTTGGGCCCTCTTGGGGCCATCGTGGAGGCCGCTTGGGCCGTCATGGGGCCCTCTTGGGGGCCTCTTGGGCGATCTTGTGGGCCTCTTGGGCCGTCTTGAGCCGTCGGAATGCCGAGAAGAAGCAAATTCCAAAATCCTTCAAAAGCCGAGGGAAAATCAATGATTTTGGCCTCTTCGGGCTCTCCTGGAGGACCTCTTGGAGGCCTCTTGGGCCGTCTGGGAGGCCGCTGGGGGGCCTCTTGGGCCGTTTTGGGCCGTCTTGGATTCTCTTAGGCAGTCTTGGAGGCCGTCTTGGACCATCTTGGGCGGACTTGGAGGCCATCCTGGGCCATCTTCGCGATTTTTTGAGGATGTCCCGAGCGAAACGGCCGTTTCAGGGAGGATTTTTTCCGGAGTTTGGGGTCCTGGGTAATCCTCCCGGACCCCGGCGGGACGGGCCGAAACCCTTTGGGAGAGTTCTTTTGGAAAAAGAACCAAAACCAAAACCGGAGAGATCCAGCACGCTAGGCACCCCTGCGATGAATCGACAGGGGGCGGCGGATCAAGTGGCCTTCGGCCCATCCCGCCACCGTGCCTGGGTTGTGGGCCGGAGTTCTCTGGGATGCTTCTTCGTGCCTCTTCGGAGCGCTCTCGGGGGCCTCCTGGGAGCAATTTTGGGAGCCTTTTGGGGGCCCCTTGGAGCCTCTTGGGTGCCTGTTGGGGGCTTCTTGGTGCCTACTCGGGGCCCCATCGGGGTCGAGGGTTCGAAGTCCGTTCGGGTTCTCCATCTGGGCCCCCTCTTGGGACCGTCTTTGGGTCCTTTTTGGCCGTTTTTGGCGCCTGCTGGGCAGTCTTAGGGCCCTCTTGGGCCGTCTCGTCTTGGGGCGATCTTGGGGACCTCGTGGGCCTTCTTGGAGCGTCGGGAAGCAGAAAGAGCGAGAACGCCAAACTCTTTCAAAAGCCAGAACGGAAAATCACTGATCTTTGCCTCTAGGGCCCTCTCAGGATGCCTCCCAGGAAGTTTTGGAGGCCACC